TGGAGAATATTATTGATGTTTTTCAGAAAACTAAAAGTAGAACTGCCATATGATTCAACAGCATCACTGTTAGGTACATACTCAAAAGAAAGGAAATAAGTATATTGAAGTGATATCTGCATTATAATATTTATTGCAGCACTATTTACAGTAACTAAGATTTGAAAGCAACCTAGAGTGTTCATCAATAGATGAATGAAGAAATACAATGTGGCACATATGCACAGTGGACTACTATCAGCCATTAAAAAGAATGAGATCCTCCCATTGTCAACAACATGGATGAAACTGTAGGTCATTCTCTGAACTAAAAGTAGGCAGGCACGTAAGGATGAAATTTACATTTTCTCACTTATTGTGGTAGCTAAAAATTAAAACAATTGAACTCATGAAGATAGAAAGTATAATGATGTTTATCTGAGTCTGGGAAGTGTAGTGAGGGTAAGAGGAGAGTGGGGATGGTTAATGGCTATAAAACATAGAGTTAGAATGAATAAGATCTGGCATTTAATAGCACAACAAGGGGACGATAGACAACGATAATGTATTGTTCATTTAAAATAACTAAAAGAGCTATTTGATTTCCTGTAACACAAAGGATAAATGCTTGAGATGGATGCTCCATTTATTCTGATATGAAAATTACACCGTTGCATGCCACATCAAAACATTTCATGTAGCTTATATGTATATACACCTACTATGTACCTACAAAAAATTTTTGAAATACAAAAAAACCACTGACAGCAGAAATTTAAATGATATGTTAAAAAATGTATTGAACTTTCATATAGCCCAAAGCTAATGGGGACCACCTAAATCTCTAGTAGAATTATCCCAAAACTCTTAGTTAATAAGAACGACTAATAAAACCACATAAATTACTTGTACTCAGCATACTAGAAGACAGAATAAAACTCCATTTATTACTTAGGTGTATAAAACAATGACCACATTTTGAAATAATTATTACTTGAACTCCCAGTGCAAGCAAGCTTCTTGCAAAGTACAGCAGATGGTAAAACAGGGTTGAAGGGAGGCCACTGAGGAAAAAAAATATCCTGTAATAAATTACAAAGAGAAGAGGGGAGCTGAAGACCTAGAACGCAGTTAAAATCAATTAGTGAAAGCCCATCATTCACTAAAATTTGTAATGAAAACCTGGTAGTCAAGACCATGTTTAGAGGGAAGGATATACAAAGTAAGTGAGATTAAATGTAGAACTCTGAGAAAGCCATTATCTCTCCATGAGAAGAAAAAAAAAAGTTGGGAAGTGGTGGTGAGGGGAGAAAGATATCCTTAAGAGAAAGTTTGGTAAAAGTAAAAGGAATACGTGGAGGACTTTTAGAATAATGCAATATAAAAGAGAAGTAAATAATGCGAAATGATAACAACACACATACACACTCACTTACCTGTCATTACCTTACTGAAGTAACTACATTTTGCTGTACTGACTGAAAAAGGCTCTTTTTCACTAGGAACTATGTAAACCAACTCACATTGACAGCCACTGTGTAAACAATATAGGAAACGAATATATTCTTAATCTACATCAAACATTTATAAGAAAATAAACAAGAAAAAAAATTGAGAGTCATATAGCTGCAGCCAAAATTCCTAGCCTCAAAACTAGAAATCCATGAAGCAGAAGAAAACTTTAATGAAACAATCAAAAATCAATTAAATAATCTCCAGCAAATAATTGAGTATGTTAAAACAAACTCCTTGAATTTAACGTTGAGGTTCAGAATAGAAATTGGCTTGATGAAAAATATGTGAAATAATACTTGATTGAAATCAAGAAAGAAATACGAGTTAAAAATAAACATCGTGAAAAGTACTGCAATGAACCTACATGTGCACATATATTTATAATAGCTGTGCATGTATCTCTGAACTTAAAAGTTAAAAAAAGAAATAAATATTAAAGTAAAATGTGCCCAATGAAAAATAGATCTCAGTGAATATTGAGGAAAAAAGGAAGCTACACTTACTTAAACAATATTGAACTTTGCATCTTACTAATGGGAAAGCTTTATCTAAAAAGAGATTATTGGCTACCATTTTTCAAATGAATGATCATGGGCATTTAATATATTTAATTTTTGTTTAATACTAAATCACAAGTGATAAAATGTGAAATAATATATAAAGTTTACACATTCTGAAAAAGTTACATCTTACAATTTTTAAGAAGAGAAAGAATGGAAGGATAAAGAGAGTCTAATTAAATCACTGCTTGTGTATAGGAAATAGGCAAGAGGGAAGAAATACCATAAAACCTAGGCAAACAAACAAGACACATTCAATAAATAAATAAATATTTCAAAAAGCAGAGAACTACATGCATTTAAAAGATATAAATACAAGACTAATTACTAGAACAAGAATGAAAGCTTTCTTAATGTGAAATGCATTATTGAACACAAAAACAAAAAATAATCACATAGGACATAAGTAACAACAATATAGCATAAAAACATAGCAATTTTAACAAAACCTTATGTACAATTATTGAGGCCAAATTTATGTCATATCAATATGTGAGAATGAACATGTCAATAAGTGGGAATGAACATGCCAATAAGTGACAGTCACTAATTAAAATAAACACATTTTTAATTTGGCACACATACAAATACCCAATGTATGGAATATATACAATATACATCCAAGGTAAGGGAACTTAAAAATTAAAAATAAAAAGATATGCAAAGATATGCCAAGTGTAAAGATAGAATCTGAAATCATGTATTCAATTTCCACTATAAAACGGAGTAGAATTCAAATTAAAAGTCATTAAATATTACAACAAATGATACTTTATAATGCTAGAAGCTACAATTCATAAGAAACATACAATAGTTGAGAATATCTATATATTACATAACTGAGTAGGCACAAATATGTAATAAAAACTCATAGAGGTAACAGAAGTAGATATACACACAATAATTGAAGGAGATTGCAACACACCACCTACAGTGTAAGACAGATCAGTGCATAATAAACAAATTAGAATAGTAAGACTAAACAATATAAACATAACAAAGATTTATGGATATATATTATATGATATACTCTGATAATAGTCATATACCTTCCTCTCAAGTACACAGCTGACATTAGTAAAAATTGTTCTATATTAGATTATAATGAATAATCAGTAAGCTCTATTCAGTAAAAGTAATATAAGTAGCATTCTAATCACAACTGAATACAATAAAAAAATCGATAAAATCAGAAACCAAAACTCCCATCACACTGGGAAAAAATAAAAATATTTTCAACAACATTTGAGAGAAAGGGAAAATAAATGATGAAATTAGAGTTTTATCAAAATAAAATTAATTTGATGCATTTGGATCAATTTGATGCATTTCAAAGCAGTGATCAAAGGAAAACTCACAGCTTTAAATATGTTTATCAACAAAAAATGAAACAAGATAAAAATGTTTTATAATTAAAAGCTCTAAATAACCAAATTAAACAAAAAGTTTAAAAAATTGTTTAATTTTTGCACTTAACAAGCACAAAGAAGATACTTACAAACATAAAGCCATGTGTGAATACGGCAAACTTAATAAGTAGTATGTCAAAGTTTAGGTTTCCGGAGAAAATAATAAACAAGAAGCGAAAATAATTAAGAAAAATGTGACAGGCACACTGATGCAAGGCAAAATAGGAAGAGTTATAGAAGGCTAATATTGAGAATTTAAAAAGAACTCAAAAAACTGAACAAAATTACTGTTGATCTTACTAAAAATTGGGTAAAGGACAAAAATAGACGTTTTTCAAAGGAAGGCATACAAATGCTCCGGCACACTTATACCAAAATAACAGATGTTGGTGAAGATGTGGCAAAAGGGAAACTCTTAAACACTGTGGATCATAAAGTAAATTAATAAAACCTCTATGAAAAACAGAATGGAGATTTCTCACAAAACTGAAAGTAGAACTATCATTCACTACAGCTGTCCTACCACTGGGTATCTATGCAATGAAAAGAAATTATTACATCAAAAACAAACCTGTATTCACGTTTATTAGAGCACTATTTAAAATAACAAAGGTATCATATCAACCCATGTGTTCATCAGCATGCTTAGTCAAAGAAAATACATATATACATAATGGGATACGCATTGTCATTTAAAAAAAAGAATGAAATCAGATCTTTTGGAGGAACATAGATAAAACCGGAGGCTATTATCAAATGAAACAAATCAGGCAAAAAAAAAAAAAAAGACAAATGCTACATGTTCACACTTGTAAGTGGGAGCAAAACAGTGTGTACACATGGATATAGACAGACGATGGAGGGAGACTCAGCAGAGTGGGGGAGTGGAAAGGATGATGCAAAATCATTTAATGGATCCAATGTGCTGTATTTCGGTGATGGATGCCCTAAAAGTTCTGACTTCACCACTACACAATCTATGAATGTAACAAAATTACACATATAACCCACAAATTTATGCAAATAAAAAATCCTTGACAGGACACTCTGGTCACAAATCTGTGAAGTCCAAGGCACTCTCACTTTTAATAATAATGAAAACTAGAGAATTTTTTTTCCAATATGGTTAAATTTATGGCAATATTCTAGGAAAATTACCTATATTTTTACCTTTTGTCCTAGGATTCCCATATCTAGAAATTTGTTTTGGAAATACATATGTACAAGATTATTTACTAAAGCATTATATGTAATAGCCAAATCCTGGGAACAAGTTAATGCTAAAATGTAAACAATTAGATTATCTCTTGTACTTCCATGACATATAGTACCATAAAGCCAATGAAGAGGAATGTCTGCATGAATAAGAATACTTCTGGAGTGCTGGAATTTCTATAGCACCTCCAAAAGAGGGGCAATAATTGACACTTTTACTTTTTAATACATAGTAAAATTTTTCCATATAACAATTACACAATAACAATATTTTATAAATATTAAATGTTTTTGACTTCCTAAAAAAGTTGAGATAACTTACTGGCATCCTGTTGTCAAGCAACCGAGATGTTACAGTATCTGCACAAATAAGAAAGATTAAATAACTTAGTATCCCCTGTGATATATCCATGTCTTGCAAGATAATATGGATGCAGGTCTTTCAATGAGCAAAGTACACCAGAAAGTGAGCTTCCTCTGGCACTGACTGTGTACAGGAAAGTCAGATGGAAACACCGGAGTAGCCCTGATTCCTACAGTTGATATCACTCAGTCTCAAATGCATTACATCTTTTAACTCAATAAAACCTTCCCTTGAAGATATCATTTTCATTGTTATCTGCATGTTACAGATGAGGAAACTGAAGACAAAGGAAGACAATGACTTGCAAATATAGAGAGAATTCAATCAGAATTGAGCATCAGCTTTCTGCTTTATTTTCAATGTTTTTCCAGTTCTTATATATTTCATTTGCAGTAACAGTAATAGATAATTTTTGAATTTAAGGCAGATTGACTATCCCAGAGGTTATCAATGAGACTTACTTGATACTGTATTTTGATACTAGAATTGATAACTAAAAGTATCAAACCTGAAACTTTATTGTAACAAATTACACTGAAGAATATGACCTACACAGCAGAGAAAGAATTCAATTGAGGTACTTAAACTCAATTCAGTGGCCATTCATATTAACTATAGAGTTTTGCTCCTTTTGTAATATGGGGAGGTGGATTCACCAATGTCACTTTAAAGGGCATTTGTCCTGTGGTTATTTGATTTGCCAATTCAAGTATACTAAAACAAATGCAACAACCAATTCTATTCCTATGTGATATCAAATCTTGCCTGCAATCCTAGAACGTGAGAAATGAACCCAGAATTACAAAATGTACTCACCAGAGGAAAAATAAAGTGCCAACATGATGATAAAACTGGCTTGGATCCACAATGAGAAGTGAGCCATTTTGCTTCCTCACTCTCCCTTAAAGAAATTTGCGGAGAAACATTCAGAATATTTATGACACAGGTCCTATAAAACTTCAATGAACACAATAAGATAGAGGAACGATTTCCTGTACCCTCCCACTTGGGAGAATATCACAGCTCCTGAGATTCTATATCCCTTTACTCTTCATTAGATGCGAGAACAGTCACAGCTCCTAAGATTCTGTATTTCTTTTCTATTCGTTAGAGACTATTCCCTTTGCTCCTCTACCCCTAAAATCAATAAAAAATATGTGCATTAACAAATATGTGTGGAAAAATGTTTAGGATAACTTTCTGTGTGGCATTTAGTACCCAAATGCAATTTTGAGAGTTCAGTTTATCTTTTATGGAAGCTGGAACAGTTATTACTAGAAAGACAATATCTGGAAAAATCCTGACAGCAGTCCTACACATAAAAGCCACCATATCATATGCCCCAAATTACTCACCTCAAGAAGGAATGGTGCAAAAGAAAACTGACTGTCTTGTTCACTCTTGCCTCCTTAGCTACCTCATATCTGGAGGAGTCTTTTTTATAGATCTCTGAATAAGGAAGACAAATGAGCCAGGAGAGATATGGCACAGAGGAATCAAGTTTCCTGGAAGTTTTCAGAGAACTTACTTTATACGGAGGTTATCTAAGAAATATCTAAAGCAGGAAGTCATGGCATGGACAATTTCATCTGATGGACACAAATAAATAAGAAGGAAAGAAAATAATAAGCCTATTTATTGATCCTAAAACAGATAAAACCTGCAAAATCCTACGCATGAGAGCTGTGTAGTCAAGAAAACTAAGAAAAGTAGAATTTCAAGAATTACAATTTACAAATATGACTAGAACCTCAAGTTTTAAAATCTACATAGATTTATAAAAACCACCTGGATGCTATTTCGAAAATATCAGTGCTGAATTTCATTCCCCAAGTCTGTGACTCAATTTTCTACATTAGATTCCAGTCATTGATACTTATTATAAGTTTCTAACATGATAACAATATGCAGATTCAGTTTGAGGTTACTGAGCTGAGGCTATAGAAAAATCACTGGAGCTCAATTGCATCAGTCTCTATATTTTTCCATAGTAGAGTTTTTCAATTTTACGAAAATGTCTAATTCAATCTTATCTTTGGCTAGTTTATTCATAAAACATTTATTTATTCAACTTGTAATTTTGAAAATAACTTCATTATATTTTAGAGTCAGAGAGTACTTGTTTATTCCATGAGTATATTGCATGATACTGATTTTTGAGGTACTGACGATCCTGTTGCACACTTAGTGAACTTAGTACACAATCAGTAGGGTTTCAGCCCACATCCCCCTTCCTCCCTCTCCCTGTAGTAGCCACAGTGTCTATTGTTCTCACTTTTGTGTCCACGTGTACTCAGTGTTTATCTCCCACTTATAATTGATGTCATGTGGTATTTTGTTTTCTATTCCTGTGTTAATTCACTTAGAGTAATGGCTGCATCCATGTTGCTGCAAAAGCAAAACAAAACAAAAAACAAAAAAAGATTTTGCTCTTTTTTATGGCTTCACAGTATTTCATAATGTGTATCTACCATAGTTCCTTTGTCCAATCCACTATGAATGGCACCTAGGTTAATTCCATGTCTTTGCTATTGTGAATAGTGCTACAATGAACATACAAGTGCATGCTGGTAAAAGGACATGATTTCATTCATTTGTATAGCTCTGGAGTATTCCACGGTGTCAAACTACCAGATTTTCTTTATCCACTCCACTGTTGACTCAATCAACTTCTAAGTTGAGTCCAATGACTTTGCTACTGTGAATAGTGCTACCATAAATGTATGAGTGCATATGTCTTTTTGGTAGAACAATTTATTTTCCTTTGGGTATATACTCAGTAGTGGGATACCTGGGTCAAATGGTACCCTGTTTTGCATTATTTAGAAATTTCCAAACTGCTTTCCACCGTGGCTGAACTAATTTACATTCCTAACAACAGTGTGAAGCTATACTCTTTTCTCAATAGTCTCCCCCACATGCGTTATTTTTTGATTTTGTCATAGTAGCTATTCTAACTGGTATAAGATGGTATCTTGATGTTTTAGATTTACATTTCTATGATGATTAAACCAGCCCTGAAAACTCTGCTCTGTAACTCAGCTGAAAGAGTTTCTAAATCAGATTTACTGCTCTTCAGAACCATGCTATAGGAAGTATGTTCCGTGGTTCTCCAGGGTATAGACCCCTTGCAAGTCTACACACACTGCTGGGGTATCCTCTTTGGGCCCTCCTTCATATAGACATACTGTGTTCTGAACATTTGCTTGTGTTGAGGGAACTCTAGGCTTAAGGCACTAATGTATGCTGTAAAGAGGCAGTGACATAGCAAAAACAAATTTAATAGGTATACTGCAAAAGTATCTTGAAGCAAACACATCCAACAAGAAACAAAAGAAGCCAGACAGAGAAGACTGGAATGAATAACTAATGCTTCAAGACAAAAACATGGTTGTACATCCACAAGTAAGACTAGCAAACAGAGAACAATAGTCTCCCATATGAACAACAGAAGGAGATAGGGATTGACCCTAATGATATAATGATAGGCAAACTCTCTGATCAATAATTCAAAAGATAAGTTTCAAGAAAACTAAGTGATCTCCCAAATAACACAGAAAAACTATTCAGAAATGTATAAGGGTAATTTTACAGATTGAAATGATTTAAAAAATCCAACAAAAATCATGGAACTGAGATATGTTTTCTGGACTAAAAAGTTAATAGAGTCTCTCAATATCAGAATGTATCAAGCAGAGGAAAGAATCAGTGAGCTGTGAATGGAATAACCCCCCTTGCAGCAGAAAGCAGTTGGTTATAGTGGGAGGCTCAAGGAGATGGTGTCTGATTTGCATAGGGTCCAGGGGGTTTGTTTGACCAGGTGTGTCATTTACATAGTGAGCAAAAAGACTGGCACTCCCACCCTAACCTTTTATTACGCAAATGTGGCTTCTAACTGGCTGTCCCCATGACATCTACACATGTGGCTTCTACCTGGTCAATCACCATGATGTCTGCACACATGCCTTCTACCTGGCCATTTGCCGTGATACCCACACAACATGGCAACTAAGAAAAGGGAGCAGGAACTTCCATATTGGGCACAACTGGCTTTTAGTCACTTGAATGTACAGATTTGGTTTTTCAGGCTGCTTTCTGTTTGAAAAAAAATGTTTTTGGGGATTTTTTTTATTAAAAGATAAAGCTTTACTGAGAACTCTTTTTCCCTTTTCACCTGCCTAAAATAATTTCTTAATAACTCTTGTAATAGAATGATACCTTACATCACAAAAACATACTTACGTACTAAGTCACTGAAAGTATAAAGCAACCACACAATTAAGTCTACAAAACAACTAGCTAACAACATGAAGGCAGGATCAAATCCTCACATGTCAGTACTTTGAATATAAATGGGCTAAATGCACCTCTTAAAAGGAATAGAGTGTGAAGGTAGATAAAGAAGCAAGACCCAACTTCCTGCTGTCTTCAAGAGACCTATCTCACATGTAATAACACCCTTCCAGGCTGAAAGTTAAGGGATGGGGAAAGATATAACATGCAAATGGTAAACAAAAAAGACCAAAGGTTGATAAAACAGACTTTAGGTTTAAATCCACAATGATCAAAAATGACAAAGATTGACATTACATAATGATAAATGGATGAATTAAAAAAGAAGGCTTAACTATTCTAAATATATATGCACCCAACATTGGAGAACCCAGATTGATAAAGCTAGTTCTTGCAAACATATGAAGAAATATTTACAACTACACAATAGTAGTAAGATACTTCAACAGCCAACTGGCAACATTATCATTGAAGCAGAAAATTTAAAAATATAGTCTAGACTTAAACTCAAAACTTCACCAACTGAACCTAATAGACATTTATAGAATAATCCACCCGAAAACAGCAGAATATACATTCTTCTTATCTGCACATGGGACATACTCTAAGGTTGACCAAATGCTTGGCAATAAAGTGAGTCTCAACAAATTCAAAAAAATTAAAATCTTACGAACAATACTCTTGTACTACACTATACAATAAAAATGGAAAACAATACCAAGATTTCTCAAAACCACCCACTTACATGGAAATTACACCACTTGCTCCTGAATGACTTTTGGTTAAATAATGAAATTCAGAAAGAAATTTTAAAATTCTTGGAGATAAAAGAAAACAGAGATACAAAGTTTGTAGCACTAAATGACTCTAAAATACTTAAATAATTTAACAAGTAAAAAATAAATAACCCAATTTAAAAATGGCAGATGACAGAACAGATGCTTATCAAAAGAAAGATATACATACAACCAAAAAATATATTGAAGGATGCTCAACATCACTAATCATTAGAGAAATGCATTCAAAATCATAATGAGATACCATCTCACACCAGTCAGAATGGCTACTATTAAAAAGCCAAAAAACAATAGATATTAGCAAGGTTTTGGAGAAAAGGGAATGCTTAAACATTGTTGGTGCGAATGTAAATCAGTTCAGCACTGTGAAAAGCAGTTTAGAGATTTCGGAAAGAACATAAAATAGAACTATCATTCAGCCCAGCGATCCCATTACTGAGTATATAACCAAAGAAAAATAGATTTTTTTTAACCAAAGAAACATGCATTTGTATATTTATTGCAGCTTTATTCATAGTCATGAAGACAGGAAGTCAACCTAGGTGCCCATCAGTGGTGGACTGGAGAAAAAAAACGTGGTAGATAGATACCATGAAATACTACACAGCCATAAAAAAATGAAATTATGCCCTTTGTACCAACATGGATACTATTATCCTAAGCTAATTAGTAGAAACAGAAAACCAAATACTGTATGTTCTCAGTTATAAGTGGGAGCCAAACACTGAAGATACACGGACATAAAGATGGCAAGAATAGAAACTGGGGACTACTTGAGGAGAGAAGAATGGAGTGGGGTGTGGATGGAAAAACTACCTATCAAATACTGTGCTCACTACCTGGGTGGTAGGATCATTGTTACACTAAATCTCAGTGACATGCAATTTACTTAGGTAACAAACATGCACAAGTACTGCTGGAATCTAAAATAAACTAAAAAGAAAAAAAAATCATGAATGAAAGCAGAAACATCACTACCAATTGTAAAGAAATTAAATATATTATAAAAGAATATTAATAAGTATAAAAAGAAATTTAAAGTTTTATATAATATAGACAAATTGTTGGAAAAGCACACATTACCAAAACTGGCTCCAGAATAAATAGTAAATATAAATACATCTATGAAAACTGAAGAGATTAGTAATGAAAAATGTTTTCACAAAGTAAATCTCAGGTCCAGATGTGCCATCAATGGTAAATTTCACCAAATATATTTTTTAATTACAAAATCTTCAAAATTTTTTTTTTTTTTTTTTTTTTTTGAGACGAGTCTTGCTCTTGTTGCCCAGGCTGGAGTACAATGGCACAATCTCGGCTCACCACAATCTCCACCTCCTGGGTTCAAGCAATACTCTTGCCTCAGCCTCCCAAGTAGCTGGGATTTCAGGTATACACCACCATGCCCAGCTAATTTTGTATTGTTCGTAGAGACAGGGTTTCTCTTTATTGGTCAGGCTGTTCTCAAACTCCCAAGCTCAGGTGATCCACCTGCCTCG